AGTGGGAGAACTTGCACAATTGGTGGCTGACTAAATACTTTTTTGCCCCACTGTATGAGTTCTAGTCCCGCCTTAAGCACAAAGCCAGCTGGATGACCCTGGGCCAGTCTCTCTCTCTCAGCCCTAGGAAGAAGGCAATGGCAAACCACTTCTGAAGAAATATTGCCAAGAAAACTGCAAGGACCTATCCATATAGTCACCTTAAGTCAAGTCTGACTCAAAGGCACAAAATAAATGAATAAAAATCCTAGAAATCTGATTTAAAATCTGTGGGAGGTGAATAATATGTCTTTCTCTCTGCAATGCTTTAATAAGGTTCTGTGAATAGAGGTCGTCTTCCTGGTTTTGTTATGAACAAAAAACATGTACATTACTCTTGAAGAATACATGCCAGTTTTTCTTCAGTGAAATGATTATGTATTGACCAAAATGGTCCTTTTTAGTGAATGGAAGAGGCCGAGAATATATTTTATTTTCTGGATAACACTTTTGCGAGATATATTATTTACCAAGATATGAAATGATTCTTTCTTTCCCCACAAAAATAGACAGGAGGGCAGGACTGAATGCTTCTTTATCTGATATGTAGAGTTGTAGTAAGTAGAGGTAAAATTGCTGCAGCAGTGCAAAAAAAAAAAAAAGCATGACATGCCAAGTAGACTTCATCATGGATAATGAGAGTTTGTGGCATGCCATACTGTTTACGCTCTGTTGTGGCACCTGGGAGGGCACTCTTAAAAGATCTTAAAATCCCTAAGTAAAAAGCTTGGGATCCAGGTTTTTCCATTAACACTGAGTACGGGGATAGTTGTTTTTAATTGAGAAATAGCTATAGACTTGTCTAGAATTCTCCTAAGGCAGTTGCTACCCACTAAGGCAGAGCACCAGAGGAGTATGAAGGTAGTAACAGACCATTCCATGGGTGGCCCAATTACAGGATGGTTATGGTTGTTTCTGTCATCTTTTCTTGCACAGGATATTGAAGTGCAGTGCCCTGTGTGCAGGGAGCCTCTAGTGTATGACCTTGCCACACTGCAAGCAGCACCACTACCACAGCAGTCAATGGTATGGAAAATTGGCAGGGGGACCTTTTGCACTGAATCATTACTCTCTAAAAGATGGAACAAACAAGAGTCTTCTAGCCTAAATCATTTGTCATATATCAAATCATTTAGGAAATCTCATACCTCTGAATAAGGTTTGCTAAATTATTTCTAAACGGTGACATCACTGGGGCTCTGAAGCCCAGTAGGGTGTGGGAGGTCATGGATGGAGAAACCAAATGGCTAAACATCTGCAACATGTTCTCATACTCATAATGTGTAACAATTTTTAGCTATGTACATGTAGCCTAATGCACAGTGCAAAATCTAAATCGTTGGTTCTCAATGGGGGCGGTACCGCCCCTGGGGGGC